CCCTCTGCAGAGGGCAATGCCAGGCAGAGATGTCAGAGTTACTTTGGGTACTAAAAGCCATACAAGCATGTTAACTAGCTCTGCTGAAAAAACTCCTTCAGAATTAACTTAGGAATCCCTACAGACCAGAGGTTTGTGCAACAGGCATGTCCTTTGTATAGTACCTCTCACTGCTGAAAAAAAACCAAACCTCTGCCTGAATACATTCAGTTCATCCACTTTTAATCCTTAGCCACCTACTTTTTTAACCTGTGTCTTATATGTTGGCCCTGTTTTTATGGACGTCCAATTCCCATCTACTCAGTGATATTCAGAGCTCAGTGACCTTTTAGAGCTAAACTGTTTTTTTGGATAACTAACTACTTAAGCAATACTGAAGCATTTTATAAATTCATTGGAGATTACTAAACTGCTTGTGCCAAAACATAATGCCAGTGGGGTAGAATCACAATTAAATGTTTTCAGATTTTTAAGCAAATAACAATTCTTATATTTTACATTATAAAAGCAAATCCTTTATAATAGTCCGAATTCCAAAGGACGTGTTTCAGTTCAGTTCAAATAAGCTTTTAATTTATTTTAACACTTTTTGCTGTGGTTGTTCTGGAAACTGTCAACAGCCAAAAACATTGTCAGTCAACATGTCATTTGTATGATTCTGTTGATAATACTTTATCTACCGTAAACTCACAAGGCTTAGAGTGCAGTTACAGATTACTACAGGTGTAAATTTGTACTGATCAGCACCCATTGATTGCTGCCAATGTGTCACTAGATTCCACTAGAAATAATGTACAATAGCATACTCTGTTTACAGAGGATTAAAAATGTGTAGAAAAGGAACTACCACCAAACAGTGGACATACTCTCAGCTCATACCCGTGCTAACTCTGTGGTAGCTTGTCTCTGTATGTCCCTAAAGCTGCTGGAGAGTATGACTAATCATTTGCATTTTTAAACCCAATTCACCCCATTGGCTTAACAATAGCAAATCACCATCAACTACTTGTGCTAATAAAGGGGTCCCAAACACACAAACAAAATCTAGCAAAAGCAGCAGGTGTAATTTGAAAAGTGAGCAATGTAATGATATTTGAAAGAATTTAATTGAAAAACTACGAGCAAAGAGTGAATTCAGGCAGAATCGCTCAATTCATGTAGCCATGTGGAATAATTTGTCATTTACAACGGTCAAAACAAATACTGCTGCATAAATGAGTTTTAGGAACAGTCAGGCATTTTAGCAGCCTGTGAAGAATATGACAGGGTAGAGGTTGAAGGAAACTTGGAGGACAGGGCTTCCAGACAAAGTGGTCCAGTAATTCCTGCACGTCACTCCAATCCATCACCAGCAGTTTATGAAGTTGGTCAAATGGCCACCTTCCGCTGTCAAACTGGAAAATAATTCACCAGTACAAGTTCACAAATCACCTCCTTTCACAAGGAGCAGAAAGAACAAGGCAACCTCTCCCACTAGCATAGCTTGCTGTGGAAAATCACATCCCTCCAAGATAGCCCCGTCTGCCGGGGAACACCTGAGCCTCCCCATGAGAGCAGGTCTTGCCCCTTTCTCAGGGGGGCCACCCTCTCCCCGATCTCCAACGTACATGTGCCTACATCTTCTTCCAAACCTGTTCCCTTACAGACCAGTGTTCTAAAACCAAAAAAGAATGCTGAAGCAGCAGGTAAACATAGCAATATTTTCATCAATTACAGTTTTGCATCCCAAAAGCTATTGAAACATTGCTATGTATCAGACAGAGTGAACTGGTTGGTAGGGTTGGGGAAAGCAGGCAGTTGCCTAAATTGCCATTCAAAACCATGACTTTTTATGTTTGCCTTTTTCTTTTTAGCTGAATGTTATAATTGTTCTTCAATAAACACTGGCATTAAGCAATACTAATTAAAATGCTAATGATTTCTGATATTCCTGAGTATCTGTAATTTTATTAAAAACTAATAAATTCTGATATTGTTGAGTATCCATAACTTTATATTAGCATGTTGATTTTTTCTATGTGGGTGCACTTTAATCTATTGTCTAATTAACAACTGAGTTTCTGTTACATTTTTAATCTTCAGAACCCTGGATCACAGTTGCTAATCTCACTTGTTTGTCCACAGCAAAACTACCAAGAGGCGAAGTGAAAACGTATATATATAGTTATTTTTTTTCTATATAGACTGAAGGGTTATATGTTACTTGCTAAGAGATAACGCTGTTGCTGTGTTTCTTCAGCAAAAAAGGCTGACAAGACTTGTTTCACATCTGTCTGCATAATATAACAAACCCATGAAGCACTAGTGATGAAAAAGCTGTTTTGTTGACAATCTTTTATAGTTAAATGCACCCAAACACCAAGATTTAGGCACTGCTCATTAGTGCTGTATTGTAGCTCAGGATTTTGTCCCTATAAATACTTTGTGTCAAAATATTTTTCAAATATATTCTAGGCTGCAAGCCTTTTCCTTACAACCCCAAACAGCTAGAGCCTCCGAAGCCTTTTATCATCTTAATCACACTCACCCGTACCTTAACCACTGTAGCCATCCCATAACAATGCCAGCCACGTACAGTACTCCATGTGTAGTCCAACTACCCCTTTCTACAAATGCAATTCTACCTGTTTGCTTTGTGCTCTGCTCATCTACTAATATGACTCAGATCTCTTTGTCTGTCTTACTGTGGCCAGGCGTTCCATTGATGACTTTCAATTTCCATCTATGACTCCAGACATTTTTTTCTTACAAATTATCTCATAGTAGCTAATACTATGTCACAGGAAGAAGAAAGGGAATACGAACTCCCCTTCTACCTCTAACTGAGCCACTGAGATCTTCCATTTGGGTCTGCAAAAGTAAGAAGGCAAGACTGGATCTGAAGAAAGCCGTGCCTGAGGGCTGGCACATGCTGTCCTTGCAGCTCCCTTGCGCAGCCACAGCCACTCAGGCCACTGCCCCAACATGATGGCACAGGACGTTAAGGCATAACTTGAGGCCATTTCCTCGCTTGTTACTAGTGAGAAGAGGTCGACCCCCACCTCTCTACAACCTCCTACTCTCAGCCTGTGATCTCATCTGCATCAGGACCCTCCACCTGACATGGCCAGCCACACAAGGAATCCTCTCCTGTTTGTTGTACGAGTTTTCTTTGACCTGTTCCCCATAAAGTTCTAAACCGACATGCATATAAAATTCACGAACTGAAACAAAACAAGCAGGAGAAAGAAACTTGGTGAAGCACCGAGCTATAAGATAATATGCTTACATGGTTCCATCTATTACATTCGTAGTTCTAATCCATATTTTCAAGTTGTTATCTACATAAACTTACTAGCTTATTCCAGATATTTAGAGATTCAACCATCAAACACATAATATCGGATATATCTCCCAAACACTTAAATCTGGAAAAGGTGTTTACTAACATATGTGCTTTTATAAACTAAAGGAAATTTAACGTAATATGAATTTCACACAAAATTACAAGGGGAACAATCTCCTGGTTCTGAAGCAGTTTGCAAAAAGGAGAACACTTGCATATTCCATATTTACATTTTTAATAATTCCAGTCATAAACATTTGAATAAAACAATTAACTTTAATACATACTATAGTTAGTTTAGGACAAATTCATTAAATTGTCAAGTATGAATATACCACACTGTTCAAATAATGAAGAGAACATGAGTTCTACCAAGGTCATGATGAGAGGGAGAGCACAGAATATCTGTTATCTAAAGAATATCCATCATAGGGAATTGAATTAGACGCATCTCATTTTCATTTTGTCAAACTTAGTTCATATTCTGGTTGAAGAGCAGCATGCTACCTAGGATAGCAACTATCCACAAGGCAGGTATTATATCTTCATTTGACAGGTCTGGGGTGAGGTAGGTCAAATCAATACTTTAGAGATCTGTCCAAGGTCAAAAATGGACCATAAAAAGTCACATGATATATGAATCTGGCAAACAGGGAAAATAACTCATTTAAAATGTGGAATCATGATAAGAAAAGAAAAATGGATTTCACTCAAAATAAAGGGAAGAATTGTATTTCAAGAACATATTAGAAATATATGGACTAATTCAGTTTGATATAAGAAAGCAGAATTCTATGTATCATCGCTTTAAGGATCCCATTTTAATCAGTATGTCGAAACACAGACAGGAAAATACCTAACTGTTTATATGGCTTTGTATCAAAGGCTGAAAAAAACTCAACTGTTTTCAGATACTTGCAAAGTTCCACAGACACTGAGGGCAAAATAATAATTATAGATGTCATACTGCACAGTAGAATGGAAAGGGATCAGGAATATATTGGTAGGCAATACTTTTTTACCCATTCATTTCTGGTACCTGACAAAATGAGACAGAAAAACACTGTTGACTAGTAGATTACTACATGGACTCAGAAACATACCATGTATGACCTCCTGATAAGCAGGTTGCTTTCCCCCTAACAGTCCAATGTTCCTAACTTCATTCTTGGAAAAGGTTGTGCCACAATCTTCACTAAAGACAAACCCTACACTAGAGAAGTTGATGATCATAAAGTAAATCACAGCTTAAACATACGGAACAATCACTCAAAAAATATTAATGACAGAAGATGTCTCTTTTGGCTGTGTTTTATTCTAGGACAAACCTGACGAAAACCGCTTTTGGCATCTTCAATCAACCTTTCCTCTGTTTAGCATTGGAGACAAAAATGGAGACTGAACTGCTTCCAGTGTATGGGGAGGACTTAGGTCCGCTCTACCTTTTGCTTTTGTACCAGCATTTCCAGGTTTTGTACAGGGCAAAAGGTAGAAGTAGTCTTCTGTGGAATTTTATAAGATCTCGATACAAATTTCCTCTAGTTTGGGACTTTCGGCTATTGGGACTTGGTTTGGACTTACTTCTATCAAATAGACTCACTGACATGTGAAAACCACTTTTTCTTATTATTTTAAATCTTTCTTTTTAATATTGGCATAGAACAAAGATTCTTACCAGTAACCTTCAATTCAACTGTCCTTCGTATAAGCTTTCCTTCAAACTTCAGTTCACAGGTATAATTTCCTCCATCTTCTTCCTGGACGTCTTGTATTAAGAGAGTATTTCCTTTCTGAATTACAATGCTTCTCCACATTTTTGGCTTACATTCCTGCAGAAAAAAATCCATTGCTAAAATTACCCAGCTTGTATGACATAAGACAGTGTTGCCTGATCAGATTTTCAGTATTATACATAAGTAAACAACCAACTCAATATATTTTGCAATTCAAATTCAAATACAATTTCAGAATGCACAAAGATCTGAAACTGGAATTAATTTGAAGACAGAAATTAAACAGAAATGTTTTTAAGGTTCAGTAATTCCCACTGTATCACATGGGCCGTGTTTAATACATGGTGCCCTGAAGCAATGGTTAAGTATCTTCTCTTTTTCATGATCAACAACTGCCAAGACCTCTACTTTAGGATGGACCATTAAAATGCATCTCTGTTTGAAGGGAGTAAGGACAACATCTGTTAAGAGTTAGCCTGAAGGCAAACTTTACACACAGTCTCAGGCTAGAACCATTTACCAACAGAAGAAAACAGGAACACAAAACAGCAGTTTTGTGAGCAAGAGAATTCAGGAAGCCTCGTTTCCTTGTGGTCTTGTTTTTCATCACTGGCTTCTCTGGCACCTCATGAGCTCTGATTCAGCCTTTACCTATCACTGGGCTCTTTGTAGCATCACCCCCATGAGTGTCCTCTGATGGACTGCATGGTATTGACGGCCTGCAACTCTCACTGACTTCCCCAGGCAAATCTTAGCTGTTATTTGGCAGATTTAAGTTCATCACTATGAATTGTGGTCCTACTGGAACAGCATTTGAGTCCTTCGGTATAGTGTGTGATACAGTGCAAGAAGAGGCTCTCCCCTTCCTAATATACTATATGCTTGCAGCCAGATCTGTCACCTTTCACACTAACGGTACTCATGATTAAATACATCTTGGAATGCTCTGAACTAAAAGCATAGGCACAATCCAATCATTGCCTCTTTAAAATGGTACCTTCAGGTTATATATTTATTGTCTCTCGATAACTTTAACATCAAGCCTGTTTTGCCTGCAAACAAAAGTACACTTTTCTCAGTTCTCTGAACCACTCAGTACTCCTGGCAGTTCGGGAGGCTCCGGCTAATTCTGTACCCAGAAAACACAAAGCAATATAGGGCCCGAGTACCTTTAATGATCCTCTATTCCCTCTCTCAGGGTGGCAACATGGAATAGGCTCTCAGACTGCAGCTAACAATCTCACATCAGTTACATCAGGCTCAGCAACTTCAGAGATTTGTGTAAATAGCCCAGACTTATGCCCTATTTTCTGCTCATCTGCAACAGCAGTCTCAGAAATACAGCAAACAAAATAGAACAAAGCTTTCTCTTAAGAAAACAACCAAACAAGAAAATACACTGACATGCAAATATACTGCATGACAGCAAGAGATCACAATGACACAAACATTAATTTTTTTCATGGGATTCCATAGGCATTCCAAATCTACAATGCCAGGTTCTAAATTAAAGGATAATAACAAAGGAATAAAAAGATGGCACAGGGAGCTTCTGGGCTTGCACTTGAAAATGGAGCACTGAAGCATTTATCCCTATCTCTAGTAGGCCAAATTCAGTTACAGTGTGGTCAGATTTTGAATTCTAAAACTGTCTAATACTACTGCAGGTAACACAGTGTTCAGGTTATCTTTCTGTTTCCAAAGTACAGTTGTAAGGAAAGTGTAATCTTGTCTTGCATGTGAACTTTAGTTAACACAGGTGACAGAGAATGATCAGAATCCAGATCCTATCCGCTATGCCAAGAAGAATCAGAGCTTATTTTTGTTACTAAATTACACTGACATCGCTTGAGACTCACACAGGATGCAGGTCTGAGTCAGAAAATGCCATTAAATCCCTTCTGATTTGCACTCAGTTTTTTAGTCCTATTTAAAAGTGCATCAGCCACCTACTTGGAGTAACTCAATCTGAACACTGGGCAAAGAATATGATTCAGTTCTATTCAATCCTAATTTAGAAGGAATACAATTCCCAGAATACAGAAAGTAAGCCTATTTCAGATATGCACCCTTTCAGTGCAGCACCGAAAGACTCTATCATACGTTACCAGTTTTATATTCTTTTTTTTTAAAGTGTGAGAGCAAAGAGATCAAAGATATATTTTCATACGTTTTATATTTTTATATATGACATGTTTATAGTAAGAAGGGCGACATCTTTACTACTACAGAGATTACTGATTTAGCACAATCACTGTTTGTGCTATCATGGTTTTACAGTAAGGAATTGTTCTCTTGGAATTGTACCACTAATTTCCTAATTGTTTCTTTCTGTATCTACTTAGAACACTTCATATTAAAAATTATTTATAACCCTTTCTTTCCCAAATTTTAGCTAATTCATTTTTATTCTACTGACTACGCAGGCTTTCTGAATGTATGTTGAAAATGCCTGTTTCATTCTGCTTGTTATTCACAGACTGGTTCGATCCACAAAACTAAAAGCAAAAAAGGGGAGAAGCTGGAAAATCATAACAATTTGTATTTTAAGCAACAAAAATGGCCAAGAAACAAACCAATACAAAAAAAAAAATCTAACTTGTCTTCATATTGTGGAAACAATGTTTACATGCTAGAAGAATCTGGAAGTTTCTTTTCCTAGTCTATTTATTCTCCTCAGACATCTTAAATTTTGGGGTTTTTTTTTCCCCCCAATAATTAATTTGTGAACTAGTCTGCTTCTTTTTTCTCTTCCTTGAAATTTAAGTGGCAGCACCTCAACAACTTTATTTTTTGTAGGGTAAGTAAAAACTACCTGTACTTCATCTGATATTTTGATTGTTTTCACAGCCCTTCCTTCAGCCCAGTAGTAGAAAACACATGGTGGAAATGGATTAAGACTCCACATTCTAGATGTAATATACTTTTTCCTCTGCCAGTTGATTTTTCATGAAACTGCTCTTACTGTTAAATCCTATTCATTCAATCATGCCTTGACACACACATATATTTCAAAAAAATCCTTATACTTCTTGTCAAAACAGTTCTAAGAGGCGTAACAGTGCTGTGTGTATATCAATGGCATTACTTGTGGAAATCTTAAAAATAAATATTTTGTGCAGTGTAATTCTAGCCAGAAGTGAAGTTCATACTACTGTTAAAACAAATCCTTATAGCAAATGTTTTATTACTTATCAGGTCTGCATGTGGAAATCTATTCAGGCATAATTATTTTAAGACTGTGTTTAAATTACAGTTAACTCCCTGTAAATTGATGCAATTATTGGCTCAGGTTCATTAATCCCTTCACATAGAGAAACCTTCTGGAAGGCAGGGCAAGTCCTGCACACAGTGGGCGTGCACTATTACTGTCTTGTCTGATGGTATTTCATCGGTCACGGGTCCAAACTCACTGACCACCAGCGGACTGGCAGGTTCTCATGAACCTGACATATTTACCTTCTGCATAACATTGACATCGACATTTCACATTACTGAGCTTCCTGACTCATGTCCAGATAACATAGGTGTTGTCTAGGAACTGAACTGATAGCACCTTATTATTAATTATGGATAAGGAGGTATATGTAGTAGGTTACTCCACTATGTCTCTTTTCATTATCAAGCCAGATTAAAGGTTGTCGACTTCGATTGTCTCACCGTTATCATCCAACCACATCAATTCTGTTCAATTTCACTGCAGTCATGACTTGCCAATCAGCTGTCAGACTCCAAACTGGTGTCACACAAACTGTGTGCGCAACTCAGAAAATACATGTGGGTATATGGAACAAAGACCCCTCTGTTCCCTTTGTTGGTCAGCACAAAGCATCGTTGATGTGGGGTTGTACATGCATCTTCCTTAGACTGATTTCTGCTCCATGACAGCTGAAGATTATTCCTGCCAGACTATTTTTCCAGTGTGCTCTTGCGAAAAAATGAGATCTTCAGTGAACTGGTGTTTAGTTACACCTAGGTAGACAGGGCAAGAAACAGCTTCTCTCTGGTACCCTCTTTTCTCCAAGATTTCAGACTTAACTGAATACATGTATTTTATCTTTTATATATGAACAGCACTGAAGATATCCATGCATATGCTGAGAGAAACAGCTTCAATGGCTGAAATAAAAACTTTGTTTATACTAACAGTGGGTTACGCTACATGTTTTGTTACTATAAGATAGAATATATGAGATTTCTGTAAAAAGTAGAAATAGATGATAACTTTTATAATTGCTCTTTTCAGATGCAACCTGCTAAGAAGGAAAAAAATCTTCAGCTCTGCACATATTACTTATTTCACACAAAATAACTATCTTTAAAGAACGTTATTAAAGTTGGCAAATCAAACACTCAAAATTTAGGATTTAACTAGTTTGTGTGTTTCTGTCTTCATTACCTGAACAAAGTTTGCCATAAACTCATTCTGCCTTTAGCACTACAATCCGAACTCTATTTTCCACAGACCCCACTGAGCTCTTCCTCTTGCCCTACTATTTCTTGTTCCCTCTAACTCTCAGCTCTTTATTCTCCTCCATTGTTTCTTGCAGCAACTCTTACCTGAGGGCTTTTCAAATATTAGACTTTAGACCAAGTCCAGACAATGGGTAAAATTTGCCAGACCTTGCTATGGTCTTGGTACCTGCTGTCTGCCTGACAACCCATATTTTAGTCATTCTCCTATTTTCTTGGGGAGCTACAGAAACACTTCACTGATACATCTGCTTCTGAAAGTGCTGTATGATCGCTGACAGGCCTTGGAGAAGGTACAGCCAGCCGAGTTACCTGACAAGTAGTAAAAGTATCTAACAGACCTCAGTAAAATTACTCAATGAACCTCAGCAAAAGTAAAACCATCTCTGTGAAATTACCCAGCACACTTTGGTAAAAATTAACAAGCCTTGGTGAAATTACCCAACAGCCTTCATAAAAATTAATTGGGTAGCACTACTGAAGCTGGCGGTGCTGATACACCTTTGGCTCCATTGTAGGTTGCCTCCCTTTATTTTTAGTACATTATCAGGTAGGGAGACATCCCACCAAGGTGGAAACTGCTAGAGGCACAGTGGTTGGGAACGCAGTATCGCTCTTTGTGAGATCATCTCACATTCTGCGCAGAACATCCTCACTGATGCTGATTTCTGCTGGACAATGACTATGCTGGGTGGTTTTGTCTGTACTTTAGCATTTCTTCTGTGATACTGGGAGACTGTCCTCCAGACCAGTCACAAACTATTGCAGGCTCAGAAAAGGCCATCTCTATGCCTCAGACTGAAAACAGTGGAAGTTCTATATAGTTTCAGCACAATAGTAACAAGACAGCAAGAGTTACCTTGTACCACACCACATCTGGCTCTTGACTGGCTGTTTTGTAATCCTCAATATCAGGACAGGAGATTGTCTTTCTCTTAGTGACTTCTGATTTTTCCAGATATCTGATCTTGCTGTTGTAGCAAAGCCCAGATTCATTCTGAGCTACCGTCAAGGACATGGACACCTTCATGCAATATGTTGAGTTTCTGCAGGGACAGAAAATATTTTTCATTTATCCTACCTCCTTTTTACCATGTTTGTTTCAGCACAGTAAGTTTCTTTGTCAAGCTCTCATCTTCACAATCACTTCAGCGACACATTCAATTAGCGACTGTCATGCTGTGCATTCCCAACACAGAGGAATTACTATAAAACGTAAAGGCTCATTTCTGATTTACTATGAAGAACCCTGTAGAAATTTTCTTGACAAGTGATCTTATCCAGTACAGCAGCTCTTTTGAGCCTGGAAGTCCACGAACACAGGAACCTGTTGGCATCTCAAATGTTGGTCATGATACACTGTTCCATTTCCCCTGTGGGTCACACGCACTCCTCCTCTATCTTTTCTCTCCCACTTTTGGAAGATTTCACTCCAGTATGCAGTGCTATGCATTTCAGAAGAAGTATTACGTGCTGGATGTTAAAGCATGTCATGCAGGATGGACTGGCTGCGAGCCACCCACCCAGTCGCTCTCTCCTCTCACTACCCCTCAACAGGATGGGAAGGAGGAAATAAGATAAAAAAGCTCATGGCTCGCGATAAAGACAATGAGATCACTTACCAATTACCGTCAGGGACAAAAAAGACTTGACTTGAACTAAATATTTTAATTAATTGCAAATTAAAATCTGTTTGGATGGTGAGAAAGGCAAAAAAGCTAAAACATATTCCCCTCACCTCATTTTTTTACTCTTCTACCTCCCCCAGCCCTGAGTGGTGCAGAGGGGGGGATGTGGACTTGTGGTCCCTCCATAACGGCTCCTCTCTGCTGCCCTTTCCTCCTCACACATTCCCCTGCCCCAGCGCAACCCTCCATGGCGGCCATTCCTGTCAGGAAAAGCAGCTCCCCGGGGTTCCCCCATGGCCGCAGGGCAGTCTGTGCTGGGGGCCCGGAGCGGCTCCTCCCTGCCCCTGCCCGGCCCTCCGTGTCCCGGGCTGTCCCTCACACTTCTCCCCTCACGGCCCGGCGGCGTTTTGCCCTTCCTCAATCCCGCTTTCCCCGGGGCGCCGCCAGCCCGGCTGAGGGGCGCGGCCCCGCCCTGCCCTGGGGCCGCCCCAACCGGCGGGAACCGGCCCTGTCCGGCGCGGGGCAGCCCCTCAGCTCCCCTCAGAGACACCCTGCAGCCGGCGCCCAGTACAGGTACACAAGAAGTCAGACTGGTGGTTATCCAGATACATTTTCACCTTAAAATCTTGAAAAATATAATCCCTTAGCACTTCAAACCATTGCCGGCTCTATCACCAACGAACCTTGACAGAGTTAAATCCAGGTGAGTGGACTGCAAGCTACACCTAGTTTTTCTTAAAATCAGGGTAGAATAAACACAACCAGCCCAGCTCCCGTGCCTCACAATCATGAAAACAGGATTAAATTAAATTCCTTCAGATTTGCATCTTTAACAGAGCTATCAGACACACAATAAAAATCCCCAAACCAGTGTTTGTCGTGGTGTTACTGTGAAGCATTTGCACTTTGCACAGGATCGCTGCAACCCAGACTGTCAGCTTCTGCCCTTCATTAGGCGTGATGGCAAACAGAGTCCTTTAAAAGCAAACTACAAAGTACAAGCGACAATATAATGAGGCTCTTCCTCCCATCATGCATCATTTTGTCATTTTAACTCCCTGCGCCACAACCAAAAAAGCCTGGAGCAAAGCCGACGTGCTGGGTGGTGGCTCCCATCAAAGGCCCTTGCGGAGGGCCCTCACAGGAGATGTTGCCGCTTTGCCACTGCCGCTGTGGCAAACAGGCTTAGCTGTGGCAAGAGGGCAGCATGGCAGACAAAAACTGCCCTGTGCACCTGGAAAGTGATCCGTCAGTCCCCACACTAATGGTACAGGCTGCTCACTGCCTCCAGTTAGACTTACGACAATACTTTAATTAAAAAAGAATATATCTATAACCAGCACGCTCCATAACAAACCTTTTCTTATGCAATGTTTCAACATGTTACCCTGTCAAGCTAGCCTGTAATTAGGAAGAAAATAAAAAGGTCTATAGGGCCACCTCATCACAGCACTAAGCCTCATGCTAAACAAGTGCAGACAAAACACTGTGCAAATGGCTTTTTGTCACAGGTGTGCTGTGAGCAGGTATTTGCAGAAAGGGATATTTGCAAGGGAAATCAACAGGCAATCTTCAGAAACCTCCCATTTTCAGCAATGTTAGTTTTACGTATTCAGCAGAAACAGTGACCTCCCCCTTCCTGCTCCCTCCTCTTCAAAATGCCACCTGTACATTTATGTAATAAAATTGGTGGATATTTTCACCATCCCTCCTCTCAGAGTGGAAAGGATCACTTTGCACACTGCCATGACGCGTATCAGTTAAGAGGCTATAAAAAAGTCTCATCCACACAAACTGCACAAAATGTATTATTTTCCCTGAAATAAAAGTTCTCTGGATTGAAAAAATGCATAATTTTGGGTGGGGTTTTCAGAAATAGTTAATATGATTGAGGGAACATAAGTCAACTTTCTCCCAAACTACTTGCTTTTGAAAAGGGTTACTTTTTTTGTAGGAAGAAAACAAAACATCTTTGGAAAGTTTCGATGCTTCCTAATATAGCACTGAAAATACACAAAATACAGATACAACCACTCAGTATAATTGATAGTAATTAATCAGTAATGATTATTTAGCTTTCCTGAATGACTACGAGTATTACTGAGTGCAAATAAGGTCACACGCGCTCAGTAATAATGATCCAGGCTAATCACGAATAAGGACTTTGAATAGTTGTCCATTACTTGGTGTTATTTAATAGTGCTGTATTTTCTGCTAACAATCTTGCATTATTTAGATTGCATTTTGAACAGCGCTGGAGGCTACTTCTATTTAAAACGCTTCCTGGAACCACAACCTAAAAATGTAGTATTCTTTTCATTAGTTACAATTAGAATTGAGAAAACTAAGTGCCTGGTGAGCACTATCACTTTTGTTCACACTCCACAACTGAGACAATGAATCTAGTCAGGCTCATGATGAAGAAAGCCCTCACTAAGCCAACAGCAATAGACTTGAAAGCTTTATGAATGCTTCTTCACCAGCCACTCACGTTAGCGCTACAGCTGGTAATTCAGAAAAGGGCAACTTCTGCAGGAATTCCAGTGAACGAAGCAGCAGCCTTCCTTTAATCTAGTCAGTTCAGGATAACAGTGACATTTCAGTCGTGTGCAAAAGGAAACAGCAGTTTGATCAGCCTCACTGTTTTCCTTGATTTTGAGGGAAAAGTCCAGGAGGCGAAGTTTGTAGAAGACACGAGCCATTCCTCCCTGTGCTAGACAAGCTGTTTCCCAGGATGGTATGGATTTCATCACTCAGTCCTCTGAGCAGGCGATGGGTCTGTGCTTTTCTTGGAGACTCCCATGGCTACCATTTTTCTGTCAGCTCAGATGCTATGAGACAGAGCTTCCTAAAAAACATACATTCCCTTTGTTTTAATCAGACGATTGCCATGGAATTGACCATGTTCATTCTATGTGGGAATTAGTAGATGAACCTGTTAATTTTCCCATGCAGAAAAAACCTTGTAGTTTGAACTGTAATTTGCAGAAAACCGTGCATTTGGTTTCACTGGCACATGGGGACGTACTGTCTTCCCTCCCTTGCGGGGCCTGGGGCACAAAGGGCTCTATCAAAGGTGACAGCTTGAGGGAGAACGCAGAAACGGGATCACAAAGCAGTCGATGGTCACTACAGCATTGTTTTTACCTCCTCAGTAAACAGATAGGAGTATTGTGGTGCTGGCCACCATGCAGGACACTGAGGTGACAGGAACTCACCTACAGAGGTCCCTCAGGAAGCCCACAGAGCTGCTGTGCTTGGAGGGATCCAGCACTCACTCCTTTCCAATCGTTTTCAGGACCTCTGTGTCCACAAAAGCTCTCCTTGAGAGCATTTAAGTTGTTTATGGTAAGGGTATTTTTTAATTTTTTAAAAATTTTTAATTTTTTTTTTTGTGTGTGTAAAGGTGTGGAGACTGACTAGCATGAATCCTACATTTATTGCTTTTCTTCTCTTAAAAGCTAAACAGATGGCCTATGAATTATAAAAAGGAGGATCCACTTTTGTTTTCAGGACATGGTCATGGAGTTTGGTGGGGGAGGTCAATGCCCCCAGCAGTTTGCAGACTGGCAGCAAAGGTTATATGGCCATATTTAATGAGGAAAGCTGGAACACAAGAACAACAACAGATAACAATAGCAAAGCTGGTAACCCAGGTTTTGCTGTCAGAATGGGTGGCTGAAGGGAATAAAAAGGAAGCATCTTCCAGGTAGATGAGGAAGATGCTGGAGGGCTTGCGGGGGTGATCTCAGTCCTGTGAGGCCAGGTAAGAAGAGCTGTATATAAGTAGAGAATACTGGAACCCAAATGAACCTGGCACACTGCAGACAGCCTACTTTCCACAAGTAAAGGAAGTAAGTCCATGAGTCTGAAAGTGGGTCTTTAATAATTTGTCTTTTCTGAAAGGTTTCCAAACCATTCTTTTTCCAGGGGAGTCAATTTCCAATGGATTTCATTTCTATAGAAGGTAGCAGTGGTCATATGGGGAACAGAAAGAGGGAAGAAAAGAATCACTCCTTAGGACAAACAAAAACATTCAAGTGTTTTTATGTTTTCACAGTGAAACTAAGATTTGTAATTCCCTGTTTCAAGGGACTAGTTATAAACTGGGCCTACTGTCTCGACTGGAAATGTCAAGAAGGGTTTAGCTTTGCCAGAGTTCACAAAGCAGTTTCCTTTGTTCTGGTGGCAAGGCACTTGTAATCCCCTGGCCACCTGCAACTGGCTCTGAACCACAAACTGAAGCCAGTTTAGAATCCAATAGAAAACCACAGGGAAAACTAAGGGAGTTTAAGAGATCTCAAAACAAAAGCAAGCAAAATTGTGAGTTTGGCTTGACTTCGAAGCGAGGACAAGAGGGAAAAAGGGAGGATACAAGGAAATGGATAAGAAGAACAATTGAAATTGAAGTGTCAGTC